CCAAGCAAGAAGAAATCCAGAGCAACGTGAACCTCCTGCCACTGCCCTCAACGCCGAAAGCTGGAAACTTGATACATCGAAAGGCTGATCTGCCTTTCTCCAATGTTCATGCAATTGCGAAAATCACTCCCCTGCCCGTTGCCGTTTTGATCCGTAAAAAAGAAAAAGCAACCTCAAATGGTGCGATCCTCAGCGGCGGCCTTGCGCTTAGCCTCGTCTTCGGCGATGCGTTTCTGGCGCGCAGCCTCCTTCTCCTCCATATAACGCTTTCGGTAGTTCGGACCCATCTGAAATTCCTCATTAAGGATTCTGTAGCCCTCATGCGCCGCATTGGAGCCAATCTTCGCACGTTTGAAAGTTGATCTGAAACAGGAGCTGCTGTCTCTCGGGCCTCCTTTCGTGTCGCGCACTTGACGCCACTTCGCACTGGCGAGATCCTCAATCTCCCGCTGCATGGGGGTCATGGCAAGCGCGTTCTCTTTCATTGCGCTCTTTGCGCTGACGCTTCTGTTCTTCCTCTACAGCGAGCTTGTCGTCCCGCTCTTTGCGTTTGCGGGCGCGCTCAGCAAGGAACTCCTCATTATCTGCAAGGAAACGCGCGCTGTGACCAAGGCCAGCACTTTCGGGAGCCAGGCCGGGAGTCTCGGTGATGACGGGCGGAGTCGTGTACCAGAGCAACTTTCCATTGTCGTTGTTGTACATGAGGCGGATCTCCTCGGGGATCTCGTTGTTGAGCTCATCCGGGAGGGTGAAAACTTCCGTGGAGGGCGCGGCATTGTGCGAATTCTGCTGCTGCTGCTGAGGTGGCAGGTGCTGTTGCTGCGCAGGGACGTAGGGCTGCATCTGGATACCAGCAGTGGGGGCCATGGTGTTTCGGTTGGTGCCCATGGACATGCGGTGGTCAGCGAAGCCTGAATTGGCCATGTGCGATGGCTGCATCTGAGGAATCTGAGCATGAGACTGGGGCTGCACATTTAGTTGTCCCTGTTGAATGTGGGTCGCGGGCGAGTGTGGGTACGCAGGTGGATGCTGGCCTTGGCGTTGATTGTACTGCGGGCCCTGGAAGTTACCCTGAAAGCCATTCTGGTACTGGTCGGTTGCCATGTTGGATCCTTGTGGGCGATGCATCGGAGCTTGCGGCATGTTATGCTGCTGCTGCGAGAACATCTGGCCAGCGTTCTGACCAGGTGGCTGCTGTGGCTGCCGGTAGTTGAGGTAGGGGCTCTGACCAGGCTGCTGCGGCTGCGGCTGCTGGCCCTGGGGGTAGTGCGGAGCAGGCTGATGAGGACTCTGATGATGAGCAACCGGAGACGCAGAAGTGTACTGATGCTGCTGAGGCTGCGGCTGCGGCTGCTGCTGTCCGTGGTACTGGGGAACAAGAGGCGCCGGAGATGGCGAGGCGCCAGGAGGGGCCATGTGGAAGGGCGACGCTGGTGGCTGGGAACCGCGGAACGAGGAAGGCCTCCGTCCTGTGTTAGAAAGAATTGGCTGAGCAGGCTGAGCCGGAGGTGTAGGCTGCGGTGGAGGTGATTCCTGTCAGAGTTTCAGCAGAGTGCTTCCAAGGCAGAATTTCAGGCTGTGAAAGTGAAGTACAGTCGCCTCCCGTGTGTGTGACGTGAAGGTTGTGCAAGTTGTGTAAGATGGGGAGAACACCACCGACTCAAAAACAAGCAGAGAAGCAGGTATAGAAGAAAAGTAGAAAAGAAGGATTGTGGGAAGAAGCAGGAATTGAATAGAAATGAAAACGATGCCGTTGCCTGGATCTGGTATCCGTAGTGTCGGCTGTCGTCGACTGTCCATCGCCAGGATGACCTCAAATGCCGACTGGCAAGGAGAGAGGCGGAGCGGCGTGCGACTAGGCTACGGACTGGGCCGGAATCAAGAGGAGAACAATAGAAGAACTCAGGTAAACGGGAAGCTGCTGGCAAAAAAGAAAACTCTGCTCGACGCAAACGCTATCATATCCAACAAAAACACGACCCAAGGGTAGCTTCTATCATATCCTGAACAACACAGTGAGGGAAAGAAATTACTTACGTTGGACTCTCTAGGACGACGATGAACAGCACCAATAACAGGCGGCATGTTCTTGTAGCCCCAAGTCGGCTTCGGCAGCGGATCGGTCGGCTTCGCATTCTGCCTGATGAGGTGCTTGATAGGGCTGGGGAACTTCTTCATTCGTAGGGGATGAGGGAACGGATCAGAGACGTAGTCTTTCTCGCGGACTTCGTCTGGCACACAGCTCGACCATGTCTTGATCCGGGCAAATCGGCACTTCTCCTCGTTGTACCTCGACTCGCAGACATACACGCTCTTACCGGCAGGCAGCCCGCGGGGGCGTCCCTTGAAGAAACGCGTCACGAACATGACAAAGCACCGATCAATGACCTCCTCGATGGCATGGTCGCGGTACTGCGTCGACTTGGCGACCTCGTGCTCATAGAAGTGCTTGTCCTCGTGGTGCACGGTCTGCTCGGGGCGATAGTACCAGCAGGCGTTGATCCAGCGCTGGCCCTTGGGGTCTTGCCAGAGCCGGAAGATCTGAGCAACGATGGGCTTGGTCACGTCATTTGTGTTGTTGATGTGAACCCAGTCGCCTGCACAGCCATTAGGTTTCCACTCTTCTTCTTCATGCCTTGGATCAGACTGGTCACTTACCAACTCTCCAGGTCTCACCGTTATGCTGTACTTCGGCCAACGGCAACCTGCCGTCGTCAGCTCGGCAAAGACTATCAGGTTTGGCTTTCTCCTGCTGTGCCAGCGAGCGCGCTTCCCTCTGGAGATCAATGGCGGTCTGGTGAATATCACTGTCGTCTTCGTTGAAGAGCTTGGCGTTCTCAAACATGAGGTCCAGGTCCTGGATAAGGTCGTCAACAGTAGCATATTTCTTGCGCTTGAACTTCTGGCGGATCATGTCGAGAGCAATAGGCTTCTGAATGGCGTCATAGTACTCGGGCAGTTCCTGCTTGTCAGGCAGCTTCTCAAAGGGTAGGATGCGCAGCTCGCCGGACTCGTCCTTGAATTTGCGCAATCCCTTGAGGACGGAATCTATCCGGACCTCAGCAGGTGTGAGCACCTTGGGCGGGCGGCCTCTTTTCTTATGGTCTTCTTCCTCCCGGCTTGCGTCTGGGCGACGTCCAATCTTCCGAGTCTTGCGACCACGACCATTTTCGTCATCGTCGGAGTCGTCATCATCCTCTTCCTCTTCTTCTTCCTCTTCATCCTCTTCGTCCTCTTCACCGGCGTTCTCGGAGGCTTCCTCTGCAGGAGGCAACTCGCCCAGGAAAGGAAACTCAACCTCGGCAGCGGTCAAGACGCCGGCTGTCACGAGCTTTTGCAGCTTCTCCTTGGCAACCTCGCGCAATCTGACAGCAGCATGAAAGATTGGGGCGCTCGGAAGATTATAAACCTGCGCGTTGTGGCAGATGAGAGCCAGGTCTCGCACGAATTCGCTGGCGCTGGTGTACTCCTTCTTCTGGACCTTTTTCTATATAATGGGTTAGCAATTGGGGATCGCAACTCGGAAGGTATGAAACGGGGGGAGGGGGGGGTCCCCTCATACCCTGATGCTGCTGAATGCCGTGGGCTCTTCAATGATCTGGAAATAGTCGGGTAGCGATCGCTTGTTAGGGATGCGCTGGAAGGGCGCGGCAAGTTCCTCTCCGCTGGAAGGGGCCATTCAGTCAGCACGCGTGCGTCTACCTTCAATGTTATCAGGCTCGAGAGAGAAAACTAACTCTTCCTCATATCTGCTCAGCTCGGACTCAAGCGTGCCGAGGACAGACAGCAGGTCTCCAGGCTCATCAACATCTTGCTGGGAAGTATCATCTTCGCCGTCGGCGTCGGCCTCAGCGTCAGCTTCCCCGTCGGCATCTTCTTCGTCGTGCTGATCCTTCATATCGACGTCATCTGCTGCATTTTCAGGGGTGTCGAGGTCCATGTCGTGGCCGTTGGTCTTGTCCTTGTCCTTGTCAAGCTTGGCCTCGATGGAATCGCGCACGTCGGTTGCGTTGCTGCGCGTGCCCGCCATGGCGTCGGGAGGCAAAAAGGATGTGGCCACCGAGGCAGTTGAAACGAACGGAAGCTCACCAGCAGATAAACGTGAGCTATAACGTGGTCGCGACGAGGGGGAGGCGGCGCGCTGTGGAGGATGTCGCAACGGTGCGAGAATCGAGGGTTGGGGTTCTGGTGGAAGGTGGGCAGGACCGTGACAGAGAGCAAGCGCGACGAGGATGCGACTGGGCCAGCCACTTTCGCGCCAACGCCACAGTACCACAATACTAATAAGCCACAGGTACCTGAAGCAGCCACAGCGAGGGTGGTCGAAATCGGTTGTTTCCCGTTGAGAACATGAACACCTTGGTCATGGAATGACGACAGTCGTTGCACTCGAGGTGTTGATGTTTATTCCTATTTCACAGTCTCGGGGTCTCACAATCGGTGCATGTGGTGAGAGCTCATCTTCTCGCCCCGTTGTGCGACAAGCCAAGCCTCTGCCTTCAGCAAGCCTCCACAATACGCCCTCCGTGGCTATCTCTTGGCAATCAGATGCTTCTACGAAAAAAAGGCACTCTGGTCCAATGGAGTCTGCTTGCTGAGAAATCTGAAAGCAATGTACTTTGGACACCTAAATATCTAGCAGGCAGCACACACTTGCCAACAAGAACTCGTCCAGCCAGCAGCAACCCTTCGACCCAGGTTGCAGCGTGAGCGAGCTTTAGGACAATGGCCAAGGATCATGGAACCCCGGATTTGATCGGCGGCAACTAGCAATTCAGGGATCCACTTGATGGATGTTCAGCAGATGCAGCAGCATCCAAGCTTCGAGCTCCAAAACTGAGGGGCTGTCGGCGGCATCCCACTCCGAAGCTCAGGCTGTAGTCCTGAAAATGCCCGATCCACTGCTAAGCAGACTATCAGTGGCAGCGACAGCAACCTTAGAGCCCTCGAATGACAGATAAGACGACCATGGAGCTCACTCGTCGTGGGCTAAGAAAAATATATTCGTTTCCAAAGTAGTGACCGTCGAACAAGCCTGCTCCAACCAGTAATCAAAACACCAACTGGTACTAGAAGCTTCGACCACCAGCTCACATCATTGCTTCCATTACCCCCCTTCCGATCCACCGCCACCCTGCGGCCCTTTACCACTACCACAACACAACTCCAAGAACGTGGTCCTACGCATGACTGCCGTTCACCCACTGACTCCACCGATTGTCATTATAACTACAAGCCAAACCAGCCATGAGAGCCAGATACAAAGGTCCCAGTGGCACTGGCGTCCTCTCCCTCGGTGATGACACAACCATCGGCCAGCTGTACGAGGAGGTAAGGGCCAAGACAGGTATTCCCGAGTTCACTCTCAAATACGGTTGGCCCCTGAAGACCCTCGAAAGTGACCAAATGGATAAGGCTGCCAAGGAACTCGGTCTTAACGGCGAAACTTTCACGATTGTGCCCACCGAAGCAACCCAGCCACCAGCAGCACCAGCAGCGATCGTGGCGCCATCGACCTCACGCCCCGTCATTCCTGTCTCAGACGTCTCGCAACCACCGACACAGGGTCCTGAGAGTGTCAGTGTGGCATGGGCTGAGAGGGAGGGCACCCTACGTATGGGTATCCCCGATCTCCGCCGTGGCTGCTGCACTCAATCCTCACGTCTGTACTGACACTGCTCACACCAGTCCTCCCGGGTCATGCCTGACGACAATAGCTGTCTATTCACAGCTTTTGGGGGTGCCCTGCCCCGGCAGATCCCCGCCCCCGAGCTTCGCAAGATGGTCGCGGATCACATCCTGGCTCACCCGGACACGTACTCGGAGGCGATCCTCGCAACGCCCCCATCCGCCTACGCGCGTGCCATCCAAGGGCGCGACCGCTGGGGTGGCGCCATTGAGCTAGGAATCTTCTCCGAGCTATTCGATGTTGAGATTTGTACATTTGACGTCAAAGGGCAGACCTTGTTGCGCTTCGGCGAAAATAAGGACACCCGCTGTCTCCTCGTCTACTCTGGCATTCACTACGACCGCGTCGCATTCAGCCCTTCAGAGCCTCCATACCAGGAGTCTATGCTTCCTCCGGAGCTCGATCGTACGGTATGGCCCACAGACGACGCTGCTGTCCTCGAAAAGACCCAGCAGCTCGTGGCGCAGCTGCATGAGATGCATTACTACACCGACCCCGCGGAAATCCTACTCACCTGCGACGTCCCCGGCTGTCAGTGGATTGGCAGCGGCGAACGCGCCGGGAAAGAACACGCTGAACGTACGGGCCACGTGGCACTTTCCGAGATCAAAGACAATGCTCTTCTGACATGTCAAACGCCCGGATGCGGATGGCTAGGGAGTGGCGAGGCGTCGGCGAAGAAACACACGAGCGACACGGGTCACGCCTCGCTCGCTGTCATTCCCGATGATTGAGCTTGTGCGGTGCAGGGTTGATCCCATGGCGTGATACACAAGTCCAGATTCAGCAAGTCTGTCTGGAGCGAAAACGATCTGATTTGATCTTCAGACTTTCTATACTCAGTGTGTACTCAGTGTGCAACGATGGCCGTTGTCGTTGTCGTCAGAACTGCGATTATACATGATAACTGCGAGATGTGACTGTGTTCGCTCCCGAGTCTGCTATCCTTGATACTGTGTCTCCAATGCGAAGACGCATCTTGACTCGAGCAGTACCAAATTGCTTCCTTCTCCTCAGATTCATTCTGTGCGTGATTTCTACCACTTCCATCAATGTGGATTGGGTTCTGTCAAATCACCACCCGCATTCTCGCTCTCGCCAATTGGTAACACACGAAACACATATGCTGGGAAACGCGCCGCTGTACATGGTAGATAGCAGTAAATTCAAGCTCGTCTGTATCATGCAATTTCCGCCTTGGATTCGATTCACGGCCCGGGTCCGTACGCAGAAGGCACACCGCTTACTGCTTATAAGTCAGACCACCACCAAAACTGTGTTCGCTATTCTTGCCGCCAGCTTCGACCTTGCCCTGGGTCTCGCCGCCGGAGAAAGCGCACTGCCCGAGGTCCCTCTTCTCCACGGCCCCGAGAGCCGGCGATATGTCAAACTCGAATATGTCCATCGGCAGCCCGATCGTCGTGCAGGCATTTGGAATGTCGACAATGCCAGCGACGTGTCCCTGGATGGGCGCGCACGACATGAGAAGGTACGCCTGGTAATCGCTGTAACCGAACCGGCGAAGGTACTCGATGCAACCTATCCTGTCAGTACTTTTGGTTCAACATGGGCAGAGAGCGAAGACACTAACGCAGGCTCGTCTGCCGGTAGGCGACAGTGACGTCCATGTAATGCTGCTTCCCATGCTCGTCGACGGAGAAGCCCTCGAAGTAAATGTGTCGTCCTGGGCCGAACTGCGGCTCGACAGGTCCAGGGATGTAAATGGGCGACTTGAGGCCCAGTGTTGCCATGCCGTCGCGGATGACCTTGAAGTTGATCGTGATGACGCCAGCCATCTCGATGGCACCGCAAAAGGAGATTTCTCCGTCACCCTCTAAACCACACTGTCAGATGGGCGTATCGATAGAAATGAGGGGAGCGACACTCAACATACGCGAGAAGTGGAGGTCTCCCACGCTGAACTTTGCTCCGTCAACGTGAACGGGGAGGTAAACCTTGCTTCCTCGGCTGAGGTTTTTGATACTGCGGTCTGTCAGTTGGATTCTACCTGTGCAGGAACGGAAGAACATACTCGCAGTTGCCTCCATGCTCAGGCCGTCCCGGCACCGTCCTCGCTCCCTCTTCACCGACCTTCTTGCTCGTCGCCTCGTCCGCACTTCCGGCGTGCGCACTCTGCGGCTCCGGTGGCAATGCGACTTTGCGCTCGAGCTTGTTGGCTGCGATGAGCTCACCCTCGCGCTTGTTCCACGTCGACAGCACCTCCGCCGAAGGGGCGCAGCCTAGGATACCGGGGTGGATGAGGCCCGCAAACTTGACCCCGGGAATGTGCCGAGAAGTGCAGTATATGCCTTCGAAGTCCCAGATGGCCTTTGCGCTGCTCCGTGTCAGTAAAACCGCTCTGAGCCAGCAGATCAGGCGAGGACCCACGCGGATGGATAAATCTCGTCGAGGAAACCGCCACCGTTGTTTCGATCAAAGACGCCAGTAAAGCCCCATGGCTGATCTTGGAAGGGCTGGACATCCATAATCTCCACAAGAAGAAGATCGCCTGGCTTGGCACCTTCAACATCAAAGGGACCCGAGAGGTAATGAACCTTCGTCAAGTCTACGTTGAGAACATCGTCGGCAGAGTCGTTGTTCCCAATCTGGCCTCCAGTCCTGAGACAATCAGCGTACGCGATGGCTAAGTGACCTAGTGTACATACCAGTCCACGCATTCAATCTTGACCGTCTCGCCATCCTTGATGGCGCCGGCAGAGGGAACTGGATCATTAGTCAACCTCGAAACTACCTAGGTAAAGGTGCTGGGGTATACACACTGTCGGGATGCCATCTGTTCTGAGTCAGAAGTTAATGTGTAGCCGGCGAAATGGGCAGCAGATGACTTACATGGAGGGCAGGCTGTTCAGCAGCAGGCGTGTCAAAGCTCACCTTATTCACAGTCCGAATGCCCGTCTTGCCCATGGTATCCACAATCTTGAAGGCGAACGACTAATTGACGATAATGTTGTCGTGTCTTCTGGACCATATAATTCGTTGTAAATTACTGGCCTGACGAAGCTCAAGAAGTCATGTAACCATCACGCTGGCTTTCCCTGGTATAAGTAGGCGTCCATAATTACCCCGCCCTTGGCAAGCTACGGATTCCCATAATATTGTAAGTCATCGATTAAAACCAGTCAGCCAATGTAGACTAGGTCTACGGATTTCCGGGGGTTGCACGGAGCTGTCCTGAATCTCCTGAGCTGTAGTGGGCATAGCATGGAAGCTTATCAAAAGCTCCCATTCACCCCGCACGATCTTGCCGCCGGCGACACCCCAACCCCTGTCGGTGATTCGTCGCGGTGACTTCACTCTGCATGAGCGAACGCTCCCCCTATCAGCTGCGAAACGTAATTGGAATCAACATAAGCGCCACCTGATGTTCGCTTCTGGTCATGATGATTATGAAGAAGCCGACCTTCCGTGCTTCTCTCCAAATCCAGTGGAAGCCCTTTGTATGTACAGTATTCCAAAGATGAACTTTTCAGCCGCCTCTCCATGCCACTGCTCCAGCTTCGGACCCGTCAGTCGGATCTTCTCCGATGAAGGAGAGGGCCACTCAATGGCTGGCTTTCTCTACAGTTGGGATTGGTATGTCACTCTGGGCCTGCCCACTGTTTTGCTTGGACCTGTGGTGCATGGAATCCAGGTTGGACAACTCCAAGCTCAGGAATTCGTGCTTATTCGTCCAAGTCTGCTGACTGGCTGCAAAGCCAGCAGACTCGCTGTACGGCGGGGGAGGGTCGGTTGACCTTGGTGACGAGGTAGGCCGCCGAGGCCTCCGCAATGCCGTAGACGAGAACTCCGACAAGGGGTATCCTGATGAGCGTATAAAACCCCAACGCAAACCCGAAGAGCAAGCCCTCGCGGTCGTGAAACCACTTGCGTTTCTGATCCTTGGTGAAGTGCACTCGTGAGAAGTACGGCTCAAGCAGCTCGCGCATCAGGGTTCGCGACGAAAAGTAGCTCTGCAGGAAAATCACGAGATAGCGTCTCGGTAGGAAGATGCCGGTCCCGAAGATGATGGCTGCCGGCCCCATGCCGACTGCCTTGTTGAACGTGTAGAAACTGGCGGCTGGAAGGACAAAGCGACCAACATAAGGCACATATGATAAGGCGAAGATGGCCAGAGAGATGCCGGCTTTGCGAGCGAATCGCATGAAGAACATCGATAACGCTTCGGCCGTGCTCGTGGTGTGGGTGCTGCCGTCCTTGACCTTGTAGCCCTTGAGGTTTGGGTAATACATGTCGCGTAGGTTTTCGGGGTTCTCGTGCTTGTGTTTCTGAACGTACGTTAGATCGACCCACTGGAGCGAATCCATGAATCTGTCCAGTTAGCATCGAATTACTAGGAAGCCGCACTTTGACTTACAGGTTATCGAGGGTCGGCGTGACGTAGCGCATGAGGGTCATGAGGAAGAACGGAACTTGGAGAACGTATTCTTCGAGAAAGTTCAGCCCTTCCACGATCTGATTGTCCCAGGTCACCTGTTCAAGGTTTATGGCGAAAGAAAGAAGCCATAGCAGAACCCGAACACCAATAATCTGGAAGGCTTGTCGTCAGCTGGCACAGAAGGCTTCCTCGGACACGACGGAACAGGCCTACGGGAATGGAAACGATGAGGCGGATGGCCAGGCCGGCAACGACAGCAGCAGCAGCCTGTTTATAGTGATCGGAGGTAAATATACCGGGATTCTGAAGCGCTCGGTGGGCTGTTGCGCGAAGCGGGTTAGCAACCGGCGCCGACCAAGCGTGTGGTGATGGACGGTTTCATGGGCTCACCTCCAACGAAGGTCAACTGGGCACCCCTCAAGACGGAGTTGAGGCCGAAATGGGAGACATCAAATTGCTGCTTGAGCTTCTCCTTATCGACGTGCAGCTTCTCTTTCAGTTTATCGGGCTCCATGATGGCGAATGTGGCTTCTATGGTAAAGAGCTAGGGTTGAGTGCATTTACGGATCCCAAGATGCAACATCGAGTTGGAGAGTCCTGGCAGCCCACCACAGGCACAGAGCCAGACAATGACGACACCAGCACACGAGCAGCCTAGCCAGGCCAAATGTGGGAGCTGGGGCGCTTATCTCACAACGCTATCAATGGGGGGCTACACTTATCGGGGTTAGGTAGTGCGACATTCCCTGTAACGTGTCTGACCAGTGACCCTTTGCCCAGCGACCCTCTTCGACATTCTTCGCATTAAATAAGGTGCCGGAGGACGAGGCTCGCACAATGGGCGTTGCTCACAACGAGGTCTGGGCAAGGTACCTAAAGTGGCCCGTCTGTAAGACGGAAAATCGCTCTTCGGACGCGGAAGACGTTGCTCAGGCAGACAATATCAAATCCTAAATCCTTGGGCAAGCCCATGGTCTGTATGCGCATGCACACTTATGCACGTAGACAGAAGAAAGGCAGGCATTCGGGATGCTCCGCAAGAGCGCTCAACAGGGAGACACATCCCTGGCAGGCAGCGACCCGCACCCGTCTTCAACGGAAGCGCGAACCCCCCGTCGCGTGTCCAAGCTCCCTATTGCCCGAGGGTCCGACTCCCAGCCCCAAACTTGCTTCTCCCAGTGCCTCTTCCCCATCGGAAATCTTCTCATTTCACCATATCCATCGACCTCTCGTGGCGCGATTGGACGTTTCCCGTCTCTGTGCCCGTCAGTGAGACACGCCCGCTCAAAAAGAGTGGCAATTCATCGCCTCAGCGACAGCTAGGTGGTCACGGAATTCCTCAGCCTCACCCCTGGAACGCCATCGTCGAAACACTGAAAGGTGGGACGAACCAGACGAGGGGGGAGACTGCGAACTACGACTGCGCCAGAAAGTGTCACATCCTTCTAGCCCATGACACCGCAGCTTTGCCATGTCTGCAAGCACACGACCGACATGATCAAGTTCACGACCGGATTTTGACAACAGCATCAGTACGCCCCTCCCTTGGCGAATCGCTCCTGTTGATGACCGACATTGTCATGGACCATTCGCGATCAACCTTTTCGGCCCCCCGACGGGTTATGACAGCACCCCAAGGTTCTGTCTGCAGCCCTTCTTCATCGTCTCAATCGGCCCCAGGTCTCGTCGAAACCCTTTACAACCATCCAAATGTCAAGATCATCGCCTTTACAGCCTCGGGGCGAAGCAGGGCGAGGAGTCCTGGCCGTGCGCCACCCGACGAGGAGCCCGGCTCGTTGTCATCGTCATCGCAGCTTGAGCGTACCATTGCAATTGGTCAGTCGGGTCGGACTTTGGGATGAATTGTTCAATATACTGATTGTTTTACAGGCCCATTTCGGATCTACCGAGCACCCGGCTCCGTGGCATTTCTGAATTGCGGTTCAGCGCTGCAACCGATTCTACCGAAGAGCCAATGTTGGTGCATCGACGAAGTGTCCAACAAGTTCGTTCTTCAAATTCGTCGCCCGCAATACTGGAGGATAGAGGTTCCGGTGTCGGACCCTGAAGAGAAGGAGTTGGCCCACGCGTTGCGAGGCGTCTTTGATCAGATCTTACAGTTCGAAAAGACAGCGTGCCCGTTCAAGCGATCTTTCACGATAGCGCTCCCTGAGAAGCCGAAGACACCCATCAAGAAGCGGCCCTGGACTCCGGTCCGCCGATCCGATATTACGCCCACCGCTACGACCATCGTCGAGGCGACGACAACGCCCCCAGCTAGGACTACGAGGCGCAAGAGTGAGTCGCCTGCCGCACGGCAACTGAAAGCCAGCATGAAAGCCTCTTTCACAGCAGATGAAGATACCACAACTCGAAGCGAAATCGTCCCAGATACTGCTGTGCAGCGCACGAACGTTCAAGCACCAGAGGCCCAAACACCAGAGGTCCAAGCGCCAGATGCCCAAGGAGTACCCCCTGTCAGCTCTGTTGCCGAAGACGACATGTCCACGCAGATAGAAGACATCACCGAGGTTTCGAAGCAACCCAATGACGCAAGCGGTCGAAACACCGCGGATGAGACAGAGAACAGAGATAAAGAAGAGATACCAGTCACAGATGACAGATCTGTATTTGAACAACCTGAATCGGACCACAACACTCTCAAGATTCTACCTGCAACATCTGCATGCGAGCCGGACGCGACAGTCATTCTAGCAACAACAAACGACGTGAATGATGGTACCCGAGTCAGGACAGAAGCAACGGAAGCCGAGCAGAGCCAGGAGATTCCGCTAGAAACAGGTGTTCCGCTCGCCCCAATGCAGTCTCAACCCTTGAGCGTCGTCCGCGATATCTCGACACCACAGAGCAACAGCCCACCGACTCTATTGCCTGTGCAAGAGGCGCAGGAAGTATCCGAAGAGCTGCCGCCGCTGACAGCTATTCGGAGAGAAGAGCCGTCCAGTGTTCCTCCCGATTTTTCAACACCTGAAACGGCTGTCGAGTTGACGCCGCGGCACACAAGTACGCACGCTCGACCTGACATCCACGACTTCCTTCGTGCATACGAGCAAAAGGCGGCGGCAGAAGCCCCGACAAAGGCAGACATCGAGCACAGCATTGTCTTGGAAGATGTTGAGCTCCCAGCAACCGCTGATGACGACATCAAATCTACGGCCAGCGTAGAAAGCGGACCAGAGACGGCCGAGACGGAGCAAACTAGCGCAGAGGTGCTGGAGGGGAGTGGTGTTGTAGGTGCTCGGCGGAAGAAGTTGCGCGGGTTCCGCGCAGGTCGCTCTCTTGCCGTTCCACCACAACTCACGCTCATCACATCGCCGCCTTCCAAGTCTGCCGCTTCGAAGCAATCTCCTATTCGGCTGCCCGAGGACGCAAAGGGTCAGATCTCGCCGGCTGGGTCGTCTGACTCTTTCCATAGCGTGCAATCATGGCAATCTCCCCTCTCCTCTCCCGGATCGCAGCCGACGACACCCTCGACGTTTCCGTATCCGCACGACAACATTTTAATGCCCATGAGGATATCTCAGTATCGCGATATCTCGGACTTGACTGTGACGCCAGACACCAAGAGAACATGGGATGCAGCGTCTTTTGGGACCAATGAGAGCTCTCAAGAGAGCGCGGCGACTGCCCCAGACATGGCATCCGAGACGGCTGAGCAGGCTGGCAAGGACTCATCCGCGGATGGCGAAGCAAAGTCGACCGCAGTGGCACGCCGTAGACCCAGCATTCGTCACCGGGCGACGGCAAGCAGCATTTCGGTCAGCCGAGCGCTCTCACCGCTTCCGCCAGCTGCCAACCTGTTTTCCCCGACGGCAACTTCAATGAGGCGACTGCCAACACGCAGCCGGCTCGATCTCGTTCGACGGGTACCCATGGCGATAGTGGCCAAGACATGTGAGATCCTGCTGAGCCCGCCTAGCCATCTTATGAACCTGATGCTGCGGGTGGCGGCACGGATCGCGGCCGGCGAATGGCGTGGCATGATGTTTGGTTATGGAGAGTCCGGGGAAACGATCCCTGTGCAGTGGGACTACTCGGACGGCGAACTCAGCGACTGGGGTGACGACGACGACTTCTACATGAGCCAGACAGAGGGTTCACGGGCCCCGAGCGTAGCTGATCAGCAGGAAGCTCGGGACCGAACGGCTCGCGGCTGGGAGGTCGACTGAGGCTTGCTAGTGGATTCCGACGCTGGCACGATCTCTGTTTTTTTTTGTACATTACTTGTTTATTATTGGCGAACCCCCGTGTTCATAGGATGCCGGCGTTGGGCATGTTGGATTGGATTTTTGGGGCGAACACAACGACCGGATCTCGAACTTGATTGAGGGTCTCTTTTTCGGAGAGGCGTCGAAGTTGTATCATGTGAACAACACACCAGGATATCAGGAGGGGGGAGTTTTACTGTACCTTAATACTGGGCAGATGCGAGCACACGTCAATGATTGCAAGGCACACACGGCTCTTGATGATAGGCAGGCATCAAAGACTTCAAAATGAAGAATGATGCGTCAAACTGTCTCGTGTGGATGTGTATGGCGAAATAGTCACCAATCTGCCGTGCTATTCCGTGATATGTGTATGTCACGAGACATGATGCGTCGAGCACGACAGCCGGGGCGTGTCGCTGGACGAGTCCCCAGGCACCCTGCTCGGTGCACGATAGCCCGCTTACCATGATCGCGGAACTCACGAGGGTCCAGTTCAATGCAGTTTCCCAACTAGGCAAACGAGGGTGGCAGCGTCGAGGCCGGGGATTCGCTGCGACGGCCGCTTGGTGGTGGCTTGCTAGCCCTGGTCTGAGGCTGTCGTATTGTACGATGGATGCGATTGGTCAGATGGGTGGTGATGTTCAGAGTCACGACACGACCAAAGCGACGGATCAAAGGTATGGGATATAAGTAGGACGATGAAGATGAGGAAATGAGGACGTGAACTGTTTTCTGATGGAGTCATCTGTTCACTGATCTGCTGTATAACTTACACATTATCACATGGTTTCGCACGAGGCCCCTGACACATCGAAATACGTTGGCCAACACAACTTCAAGCATCTGATCCCAACCATATTGCGACCATGAGTGACGGCCGCTACGGTACGTGTCGTCATGAGATGGAGTCAACCCTACGCCTTGCAGAACTGACCCGGCCAGTCGAGGGAAGCTACTACTTCTTCGCCCCCAACAAGGGAGCCGCCATTTTCTTCACGACTGCCTTTGCAACCTCATGCATACTGCATCTGTGGCAGTGTTAGTGAGTTACTGCGCCGCCGGCACGAATGTCTCCTCGTCTGACCTGCCAGCCACTACAAGTTTTTCAAGGTGACGGGTCTCTTCGTTTTTTGCAACCTTCTCTTTGTCGCCGGCTTCGCTCTGCGCGTCTACGGAGCCTGGCACTATGACAACCTTGCCCCTTTTATCGCGAGCATATGTCTCGTCTACGCCAGCCCGTACGTCAGAATTGTGTTGATTTCTTTCGCCCTTTCTCCTCTCATGAGCGATACTGACTGGACTGGGCAGGCCCCTCCTCGAACTAGCAAACTACCACATCCTCGGGCGCATCTTGTATTACGTGCCGTACCACTCCCCACTCCACCCTGGCCGCGTGCTCTCGACGTTTGCGTTCCTTTCGGGGCTCATAGAGATGCTCAACGGTTGGGGCGCGAGCTACACCGCCAATGTTGACCTCCCTGGCGCCTCGCAGGCGACGGGCCACGCACTCATGAAGACGTCGCTCGTGCTGCAGCTCGTCGTGGCCGGCCTCTTCCTCACCCTGGCCGTCGTGTTTCACCGCCGGTGCGTCACCGCGGGCCTCGGCGGCGCGCGGCAGATCAAGAGTCCGCTGCGGACGCTCTACGTCAGCGTCGGGCTCATCACGGCCCGGACCGTGTTCCGGCTCGTGGAGCACTTTGGATTCGAGGGCATCCAGTGGGAAGGGCTGGAATCGGCGGACGTACCGGCCGTCATCCGGTACGAGTGGTTCTTCTACGTCTTCGAGGCGTCTCTGATGCTTGGGAACACGCTCATGTGGAACTGGAGGCATCCGAGGAGGTACCTGCCGGCCAAATGCGACGTGTATCTGGCGCGGGACGGCGTCACCGAAGTCGAGGGTCCAGGATGGAAAGACGACAGGGTCTGGCTGCTGACAGTCATCGATCCATTCGATGTGGGGGGGTGCCTCAGGGGTAGGCAGGCCCAGGACAAGTTCTGGGAGAGGGATGGCATCGAGGGGGTCCGGCAGGCCAAGGGGTCTGTGTAGTCCCCGGCAAGCGCGCCAGCTGAACCGCAGGCACTCGGGAGGACCGGTGGCATGTGGACTCACTCGAGACAGAAAGAAGGATGCCAAGACGTCGAGAATTGGCCCCTGAAAGGGAAGCCAATTCCCGGCCCAGCCATGCTGCCACGGCTTCGGCGTCGCGAGTGAAGAAAACGGGCTCCAGAAGCAGGAGGCGAAGGATCAGATTGCTTCTGGCGTCACCTGTGGAAGGATTTCATCAAGAGGAGCCCCGAAATAGAAGCGCGAATAGCATGTGTATCGGCGGACTAGCGTGCAGACAAAGATTCATGTCAGTGACGAGACCTGAAGCCAGTCCTGATCAAGTTGTTCAAGATGGAGCCTCTTGAGGAGATGGTCGCGTGGACGATACGGCCGAGGCTTGGACCGAGGCGAGAAGGAAGCAACCCAAGTTGGTCACCCACGACCCACGATGTCTGGCGTTCAGAGGAGGGACCATAGGAAGCTTGCGGATCCAAGGTTTCTGATTTCTTCTTGATGATCATGACGAGCCAGAGAAAAGGCTCAGAACAGCGAGAATGGCGCCACATCTGAATGACACCATCTCCATCTTCATCTCCAGGTGCGGCGCGACATTCTGCTCATGCTGAATTTCTTCTTGGTGTGAGGAAGAAAAAAACCTGTACACAATTAATGGATGAGCATTTGGACTGACTAAAACGGAAATCAATCGGCTTGGTGGACAGTCGGTCTGAAGATGGTCAAGGGGAACCACGGGAGCTGCTGGTGCTGCTTGACATGGTCACCAGCGAGGAAAAACGAGTGGATGATGGATGGCTGGATCCCTGCTGTAGGTCGAGGCAGTAGCAGGCCCCTCCAACATTAGCGAGGTAGATCACGGCCAAAAATAGGTACGGGCAAGCCACAGTCCCGCCTTCTAACGCTTACCTTAGCTAAGGGGGGAGGTGGCGTTTGTGCGCGGATCCGCCACCTCCTCCGTCTTAGCATCCAGAAAGGTGCAACCAGGTAGGCGCAATCAGGTACCTAGGTAAGGTAGCTACAGCACCTACAGTTTGGCAACTTACTTGCACCCTTCTACGCGTCCTGGCCCCCCATGACCCTCTCCCTGACAGCACTGCAATTGCCCGCTAAGCTTGGCATCTTGGGATATTGGACTGCTACCAAACACCCTGTCATGGTGGCGTCCCCCAAGAGCATGCACGAATGGCACTGCCGCTGAGCTTCCTCCTTGCTACCTTCGGTATTGTCTGAGTTGTCTTGAAAAAAAAGCACGATAAGTCTACGTCAGCCAAGCATACTGTAGGTCCAGTGTGTCTTGGACCGAGCTGCCCAGGACCAAGAAGATCAATGAAATGATACTGCATGGTTGTCCAATGCAGGGTGATCAAGCGCCAGGTATTGCATACACTCGAGGCGTGTGAGCAGCACCTACGGGATCGAGAAACCCAACAACAGCAGCGTTCAGCCTCATAACGCTCGAAACCCCTCCTTGTCTGTAGAGTTGGCAGATACCAAGACCTGTTGCGAAGGGCAGGAGACAAAGAAGACAGGGATTTCCTTCCGTAGCAGTAGCTCCAAACATCCAAAAGATCCCTGTCGTACTTGACCCTCGCTGCTGCCCCTCGCTGCTGCCCCTCGCTGTTGCCCCTCACCATGGTCACCTCGTGGACAGGCGTCAACGTTACCCCCACCACCACCATCATCACCACCACAACTTGGTGAGCCCTTCAAGACTGGTTCGACCGTGCATCGACTACTTCTCCTCGCCGTCTTCTGCTCAACTGACGACGTGTTCCAGAGATCCGCGCACAGCGACATGCAGCAAAGCCACCCTTTCCACCCAAGACAAACCTCACTGCCAAGCATCGGCCCCATCCGCTTCTCAGTCCGTCGTTTGCTCCGCCTCCAGGGATTGCCATCCTTCTCGATTCACCAACAACACGACACCACCCAAGCGGGCCCTGAGTGCCCTGACCACCCCTACGATCCTTCTCTTCCGTCTTCATTTCCCCTGTGGCCCAAGCCCCTCAAGTTATTGTCCCGTTCCCCGACCCCGAGGCGCAGTGCGAACGCAGCAGACTCCGCCAGTCTTGGGTCTGAAGGCCAGCTGCCGTTGAAGAGCACCGCCTGCTTGGTCTGGGGGGCTCGAGGTCCGCGTACGGTATCGACATCGACCTCTGCCCTTGCCCCCGTCCTTCGGCATTGCGAGGCTGGTCAAATCTTGCCTGTCGACAAAAGTTCCGAGGTGGCAGCTTGCCTCAGCCAGGCCTAGTGAACAACCCCCCGCCCCCTGGGACTCTATTTGCTCCGCGTCAATGCCGACGTGAGTAGTAGTTGACGACCCTTCTTCGATGATACTAGGCCGACGAGCATAGTGTCTCATTTCGGGGCCCACCACAGATGGCAACGACGACAGCGGACGCGGCGCAGGTCCTCCTGTCATCCAGTTTCTGGTCCTCTGATCACTAAAAGCGTCTCCGCCAGTCCGGGACACCCCAATTTGAACCTGGCCAGTCGGTCTTCATCCCTGCTTGTGTTGCTCTCTGGGCCATTTGGTCACGCCCGCATGGCTCGTGCCGTTCTGCTACCAGACTCCGAGACTCACTATACATCAAGGCACATCTGGTCCCATCCATTCATCGTCTAGGCCTGCCCTCCTTCTTGCCACATCACTAATTCATCCACAACCTGCACTACTTGTCCCTCGCCCATCCTTTTTCGGCGCCAATCTTCCTTAGCGCGTCCGCCTAGCCTGCCGTCCACGCCGCCTGTGACCGACTTGTCCGTACCAGCTTCCCCGCCGTATCTGACCCCGTACCAACCCAGCATGACCTTATTACCCAGGACAGACCCCTTATCACAGCAGCAACACAAGCATAAACACCAAAGACTCCCTCGAGTCCAGACCACAGCCGTCGAGGAAGACCGTGCCATGGACGCCCAACAGTCGCCAGACGCGACTCGGCGGCCTCAGATCTACGTTCACTTCGAGTTCGGCGTATCGTATTCACCACGAGGTCCTGGCAACAGACATAGCCTGACCTACATGTCTCGGAACTGGCGCGATCGCACGAGATTCCCTCGTCAGCTTCCGCCAACAAACACTAACTATCTCGAGTTCACCTCGATCCCTGCACATGAGCAGCAGCAACAGCAGCAACAGCAGCAAACCACGCAACCGCGATTCCAACCACACGCTCCAGCACAAACTCAAGTACAATCTCAACCGCGCACGCTACCACGCCCTCTGCCAGATTCCCATCCGGAACTGCAATTGCAGCCAGTGACACAACTGCTGCAACAAGTAGACACGTCAGCGGGACCAACACAGCGAGCGGCTTCACCTCGCGGTCGGCAACGCTCCATTGCCCACCCAAACCTTCCCGCCTCACAGACCCTTCTCTATCCTCCTTTCAGCAGGAGACAGTCACGCGCAGAAAGCCACTCATCGGGCTCCTCTCATGAGCGTGGTACTTCGGCGCCGCCGCCTTGGAAATCAGAGTCCCTGGGATGCCGAACCAGAACCCATGGGTGCTTCCGCGCTCCCCCGTCGGGAAAGCTACACAACACGAGCGCCCCTCGCATGAGCGTCGCGTCACCAGCGCCGATGTATGGAAAGCTCTTCCAGCAATACCTACTTCGTATCGTCTCAGCGAGCACCTAGGAGACGGCGGTGTGCCGTGGTCAACGGGGTGGCCCATCGAATTCGGCGTACCTGATGGGCAGGATGAACAGTCTCTGAGCGAAGGCGAGTTTGTGCCATTTGCCAACCAGCCAACCGTCATCCATGTTACTTCAGATTCGCGCACCACGTTGCTGCTTCACGAGGATCCGACGCGCGAGGCCGAGATGGACGATCTATCAAATGCAATGATGACGGTTGACAACGGCTTCGAGACACAATGGTGGAACCAGGGCCCGCGGGCTGTTGTCAGCTACTCGGCGACTGGTGAGCCTGTTCTGCATTCGCCCGTCGAACCGGTTCCGGAGGCCATACCCATCCCAGAGGACGCAGAGATGACGGCACGGTCAGTCGGATGGGCCATAGCGCAGCAGCCGTACGGGAGTCTCCCGAGCACAGGTGCAGGCTTCAACTTTGTAACCGTGTCCCCCGTGACGGTGACTGATGCTAGTAGCCCTCAGTTCTGGGTACAGCAGTCGGGGCAGCACCCACGGATGCAGCGCTCATTGACGACACGATCTGACGAACTTTTCTTTGCTGTATGAATAAAAGCATGGCATACCATGGCACGAGGGAACAGTCGATATGGCGGGCGTTCCACAATAGTCTGGAACGAAGGAAGAGTGCTGTCAAGGAAGGCTTTAGGTCATAGGAGGTTGTGTCTGAACTACGCATTCCACACTTCGAGGGCTTCTCGAGCACCCCGCCTGCCTGGTAGTGGCACGTGTACGGCTGCTACGATACCTTGCCCCCAGAGCCACTACGAATGGCCGCTATAATGAAGCGATTTTATTCTTGTTTCAAGCATATGCTGTGGCTGTGTTTTCCCACTCACTAGATATTTCTATCGCGTGCGTTCTCATGACTAGGGCCTTCTTGGCCGCAACAACGGCTTCCGAACGATCGACAGACGAAACTGTTGGCGCAACACAGCCACCGACAACGGCAGACTGTAGATCTTTGTCTATGATTGAAAGAACGTGCCTTTTCGGTACGCGTACGTACAGTGGCTCTCACGACGAGAACTTTGAGCATATTTGATTACGCTTGCGTCATACCAAGACAAGAATGCTGCGAGGCTAGGAATTCGGTCACGGGCGCGCGCATACAGGCTGACATGGAAACGAGCACCAGACAACGAAATAGATGAAGACAATAAACAGAGCCCCAACTTTATTTTTTCTTCAACATTCTTGTTCCACATCTACCTCCACCTGCGGCTCGCTGCTCAAGGGTCCGCTCAAACCAGCCACGGCGATGACGCCCGCCGCCGCTGCTAGGGGCACCGCCTTCATCATTTGCATGTTGTCGCCGGCCGCATACACCCCTGGACACGTCGTCTCGCCAAAGGCATTGACCGTCTTGATTTCGCCACTGTCGGTGAGGTCGAGGCTGAGCTGCTCGACAAAGGGACCGTTGACCCTGGTACGAGGTCCATGAGCCTGGACACACACGAAGGTTAGCCAAGGCCAAAAGAAAAAGCCGGAGAGGGAAAGGAGGAGTAGGTACTCACCAGGAAGCCCTCCGTCACAGATGTGCCGTCTTCAAAGTAGAGCGTCACCTCCGTCTCGCCGGGCCCATGCCCCATCCGCGCAATGCGCCTCGCGTCGACGACAAAAGGCGTCTTGTCGATGGCCGCCTCGAGGTCGCGGACCATGGTCTCGTCGCCGTGGGCGTAAATGGTGACGCGGTCCGCGAGCTGCTTGGCCATCCATGCCATGTGTACGCCCAAGGCCGCCTGCGCCACCAAGCCGCCCGTCAGGACGCCGGCGGTCGCGGCGCCGCGCGACTCGTAGCCGTGGCAGTACAGGCAGTGGAAGACGCTGCGGCCCCAGCAGGCGTCGAAGCCGGGGATCGGGGCCATGATGTCCGTGACGCCCGTCGCGAGGACGACCTTGCGTCCGTGCCACGTGCGGCCGTCGCCCGTCACGGCGCGGAAGAGGCCCTGCGGCGTCTTGTCGATGCGCGTCACGGCGTCGTCGATAAAGGTCGTCGTTTCGTAGCGTGCCAGGAGGTCGGCGCGCGCCTTGGAGCGCAGGGTGGCCGGGGCGGCGTGGTCGAAGCCGAGCACGCCGTGCATGTGCTCGGCGCGGGCGTTGCGGTACACCCCCGAGTCGAAGAGGACGGCGGTGCGCAGCTGGCGCGCGAGGTAGGTTGCTGTGGAGAGGCCGGCGGGGCCACCGCCGATGATGAGGACGTCGTGAGGGCGCATCTTGTGTTCGTCTCGCTGTTGCTGTTGCTGTTGCTGATGAGAAGGACTTGGTGACAGCATGAAGCTTCTGTACTTGTGTTTATTGATTGACGAAGGAAGGTCATTTTTGTCAACGGACGTCCTGGGGCTTATATGTTCCCTTCATCTTTCTGGCTGAGCATTTTGTCTCCGGATGCGATTGAAAGTCTCCGGACAACTGACGGAAGATGCTGCGGGAAAATCATGTCGAGGAGCCATAGTGATGCATGAAACAGAAACCACCGAAGAGCTGGCACCGTGATGGCCAACATGGAATACGGCTGAATCGCGACGGCGGAGGGGCCGGCGACATACCGAAGTGGGGCCGGATCGTCAAAAGTCTCCGGCAGGATGCCCACCGTTCAATGAGAGCGTCGATGCCGGTGTTTTGATTCGGAGTTACTGACAGATGCAACATTAGATTGATGGGTTATGATTTTTTTTTTGATTACTCTTCTGCTTCATCGCCCTCTCCCCTCGCTATATCGACTAGTATACATGGGCTTCAGGGCCGGCCTGACCCGGATTCGAGTACCGCCAGTCTCGCGCCTCCACACCACGTGCCACGCTGTCAAGTGGATCCGGAGGGTGTACATGATGGCATCAAGGGTAGAGGAGGCTGAACGACATACTGCGATCATTATGCAGTCCCATGAGACGAGCGCCAAGAGAGCGAAACCGTCACAAAATAAGCGAAATGTCTCCGGCCACTTTTCGGAGAGTTCGCATAACCACCGTCACATGTCTCTCCAGCTTCACCATCAGGGACTCTGATGGATTCGGGTGACATGATCATCATCATTTTCAACGAGATGCAGAAGAAGTCGAAATGTGGCTGAGATTGCGCTTGTTCATTCAGCCGGATCTACCCGCTTCTTGCTCTGCCCCAGTTCGCGCATGACCCATTCATAGACAGCCCACTGCACGGCATTGACGACGAAGGCTCTGACGCTGCACACCGTGAGGCCCCTGAAGAACACGCGTAGGCCTTCCTCCCTGTACGCAGCCTTGGCCATCTGCACGGCGCCTTGCCGTGCCTGTGAGGGCGCCTCGGCTCCGCGCCCCTCACCCAGCAGGCGCGCCGTCTCGGCCTCGCCGCCAAAGGCCCGCTGCGTCTGCACGCGCGTCTTGATGACGTCCAGTGGAAAGACGCTGGCCCAGGTCACGACGCCCGCGAGACCGCCGCAGAGGAGCACCTTGGCCGCCTCCTGATGGGCGCTCGACTCGTCGCCCGGCGCCGCGGCCATCCACCGCGTGCTCAGCTCGTACGACCAAAAGTAAAAGCCGTAGCCGATGCTGTCGCGGAGCGCCGTGACGACGCCGCCAAAGTACATCCCCCTGACACCCTCTGTGCGGTAAATCTGCTTGGCGATGGCCCAGCTCGACCGCGGCGGGGACGACAGCTGAGCGCGGCACTTGACAAGCTCGGTCGGCGTGCTGACGACCCATGTCGCGAGGCCGCCCACGGCGCCGGCAGCCCACGTCGTCCAGAGACTCGACTGCACGCCCGCCAGGCCGTTCAGCGCTGCCTCTGTTCGATTGTACGAGACGAACAGGAGGGCATTCAGGGCGCCGTAGCCCACAATCGGGGCCGCCGTGCCGGTGACGAGAGCGGCTGTGTTCTCGAACTGGCGAAAGTAGGCAGACGGCGTCTGCGCGGCGAGGGCATCGCGGGCCTGCAGGCGGACCTTGACGACGTCGAGGGGATTGCCAATGATGATGCCCACGGCACCGCTGATGTAGCCTGCCCAAAAGTCGGCGGACATGGCGTGTGTGGCTATCGTGCGGGATCCAAAAAAAAAAAAAAAAAGGAGGCCTAGACGTGCGTCGGCTTCAAGAGTAGAGGCCCCGTGTCCTGGGATCTCGGTAGTGATTCACCTTGGCCTGCGCGACGGCAATCGAAGTGACAATGCCCAGGTACGTGATCATCCATCCACCTCCGGCTAGGGCCCAAAAGCGCGCATTCCTCAGGTTTGTCGTCGTCGTGCGTTGGCGTCCGAGGTGCCGATAGTGAGCGATTTGGGCGACGACAGCGGCACCGACAAAGGGAGGCCAATTGTCCGCTATGAAAATGGTCCGGCTGGAAGGAGGAGGCAGGGGGGGTTCCTCGTGTGTGAGAGGTTGAAGGGACTCGGTGCTAGGCATGATGCTGGCGAGAGGTGAGAAAGCAGGAGCTCCACTGTCTGGTGCCGAAGACTGAGCCGAGGGAACAATACACTACGCGCAGGCGCAAGGCAGATGATGCCACAGGGAGCAGCTGAGAATCTTGAAGGGTTGTGCGAATTGATCCCTCACTTGGGCGTTTGCATCAAGGACCAGGAGGGACGCTGCCATTGGGTCTGAAATGGAAATGTGACCTTGTGGTAGCGAATGCTCCGACCTTGTCATACCTAATTTGCTGGGGAAGCCATGACCGCCATCATCGGAGGCGCCTTCTTCACATGTCCCCTGCCCTTCCTGCCTGCCTGCCTTGTCGCCTTGATGACACAAGGCAATCCAGCTGTGCTGCCTGTTATCACGTGACCGCGTGTCAATGGGTGACGCGCTCCCGTCGCGCTTGCGTCTCTCCAGAACAACATTTCGAGTCGCCCCCGTTCCCTGCCCCCGCCACCCGACGACTCGCCACACGTCAAAGACGGTGTCGACGCTTAAACCAAAGTTGCTGCGCAGCTTGATGGCCAAGAGTCTTCTTGCATCCTTCAACGTCTCGAGTTGATTTGCAAAATGTATGCCTCACCCACGTGTCCTCCTACTCTGCACGCCTAAACTGACTGACTGACCCCCCCCACCAAGGACGACAGTGTCTACACCTGTTGCCAACAAGGAGAATACCCAGCCGGGAAAACGATGGGCGCCCACGCCCGAATCCCGCGATAAACTCCACAGACCGTTCAAATGCCCCGGATCTGCCGCTCCCAGCCCTGCCGTCAATCGACCTGCCAGGAAGCGCAGAAAGGTCGATTACAAAGGCGCTGATGGCGAATCGGACGCCGACAAGCCGTACACCAACGCGGACCGCCTCGCGCTCGCGAATCGCGATGCCAATCGGTATCCGGTCTTCCAGGCCAAGGAGAAGGGCGTCGTTTTCCGCAAGGCATTTGCCGTCCCCTTGATCAACAAGAACGTGGGCGGCTACAACCCCAACAGACCCCCGCCGACTCTCGGCCTGCGCACCGGTGCCACCTTCGTCGCGAAAGCGCTGCATGACCCGAGCGGGGAGTTCGCCATCGTGCTGTACGATCCCACCGTCGACGACAAGCCTAAGGTCCCCGAGAAGCCCAAGGACGAGCCGGAGCCTACGACCACCATTGATGCCCCTCTGATGCACAAGAGCTTGGCTGAGATTCTTGGTATCAAGAAGAAGGTCGAGGGCGAGCACCCCAAGGTGCCTGTCGTCATTGACCCCCGTCTCTGCAAGGTCTTGCGTCCCCATCAGATCGAGGGCGTCAAGTTCATGTACAAATGCGTCACGGGCATGATCGACGAGAGAGCCAACGGCTGCATCATGGCCGACGAGATGGGTCTCGGAAAGACGCTCCAGTGCATCGCCCTGCTCTGGACCCTGCTGAAGCAGTCGCCCGAGGCTGGGAAGAGCGCCATCCAGAAGGCCATTGTCGTCTGTCCTTCCAGTCTGGTCAAGAACTGGGCAAACGAGCTTGTCAAGTGGCTCGGTGCCGATGCCGTCACCCCGTTCGCCATCGACGGCAAAGCCTCCAAGGAGGAACTCACCCGCCAGTTGCGGCAGTGGGCCATTGCATCCGGCAGGGCTGTGACGCGGCCTGTCATCATTGTGTCCTATGAAACCCTCCGTCTCAACGTTGACGAGCTGAAGCACACCAAGATTGGTCTCATGCTGTGTGACGAAGGTCATCGCCTGAAGAACGGCGACAGCCAGACCTTCAGCTCGTTGAACAGCCTCAACGTGAGCCGCAGAATTATTCTCTCGGGCACGCCCATTCAGAATGACCTTTCCGAATACTTTTCTCTCATCAGCTTTGCGAACCCGGATCTGCTCGGCACGCGACTCGAGTTCCGCAAGCGATTCGAGCTGCCCATCCTCCGCGGCCGCGACGCCGATGCAGACGAAGTCGACAGGAAGAAGGGCGACGAGTGTCTCAGCGAATTGCTCGGCATCGTCAACAAATTCATCATCCGGCGCACCAACGATATCCTCTCCAAGTACCTTCCTGTCAAGTACGAGCACGTCGTGTTTTGCAATCTCGCACCCTTCCAGTTGGACTTGTACAACTACTTCCTCACAAGTCCTGATATCCAAGCCCTTCTTCGTGGTAAGGGCAGCCAGCCGCTCAAAGCCATCAACATCCTCAAGAAGCTCTGCAACCATCCCGATCTCTTGAACCTCAACGACGATCTGCCTGGCTCGGAAAACTGCTGGCCAGACGACTATGTTCCGAAGGATGCTCGCGGCCACCGCAATCGAGAGGTCAAGCCTTGGTACTCTGGCAAGATGCAAGTCCTCGATCGCATGCTGGCTCGCATTCGTCAAGATACAAATGACAAGATTGTGCTCATCAGCAACTACACGCAGACGCTGGATATTTTCGAGCGGCTCTGTCGTTCTCGTGCGTATGGCTGCCTCCGTCTTGATGGCACCATGAACGTCAACAAGCGCCAGAAGCTCGTTGACAAGTTTAACGACCCTGCGGGGGAGGAATTTGTCTTCCTCCTGAGCAGCAAAGCTGGTGGCTGCGGTATCAACCTTATTGGTGCCAATCGCCTTGTTCTCTTCGATCCCGACTGGAATCCTGCTGCTGACCAGCAGGCTCTTGCTCGTGTGTGGCGTGATGGCCAGAAGAAGGACTGCTTCGTCTACCGCTTCATCGCGACAGGCACAATCGAAGAGAAGATTTTCCAGCGTCAGAGTCACAAGCAGAGTTTGTCGAGCTGCGTCGTCGATTCGGCAGAGGACGTCGAGCGTCATTTCTCACTCGACGGTCTCCGAGAGCTGTTCCAGTACCGTCCCGGCACGACGTCTGATACCCACGACACGTTCAAGTGCAAGCGCTGCAAGCCTGATGGTAGGCAGCACATCAAGGCGCCCGCCATGCTGTACGGTGACACGAGCACGTGGAATCACTTTATCAATGAGCACCTCAAGCCTATTCAGGATCTTCTTCTGAGACAGGAGTGCGGGGAGCCAGAGGTATCTGCCGTATTCCAGTATATTTCACATTAAATGACCTATGGAAGAAGGGATGGCAAAAGGGGTGCTTCGCGTGATGGAGGGTCTTGGGTCGACAATTCGTCGAGTACCATTTTTTTTTGCCCTTTACCGGCGTACAGCGTTTAGCCTTGGGCCATGTTTGAAATGCATCATGCGAGGAGTTTGGGGCCAGATGCCTTGCTTTTGGCGCTGTTTGCTTGATATTGCGCCTCACTAGAGTAGACAACATACTTTATATTTCGTATGCCAATCTGAAATACACACCATGCTCAGTATCTCGCTTTGTCTTGATAGCCATTCCAACCGAAGTCTGTATTATCCCAGTGGGCAGGAAGAGATGCATCAATCTAGTGAAGCCGGCAATGCTAGTTCATAGAGGCTCGATGGGCGATGTTCCCGAACTGTGCGTACGACGTGAGTCCATTTCAGGCATGGAGTACTTACGTCCATGTTTCATCAGTCTAAATCCCCCTTGATTGATACAATATTTATGAGGCTTCATGTCAATCATTTTTATTTCGACTTTATATTCTCTTCATGACTTCGTCTTTTCTCCAAAGAAAAAAGAAAAAGGGTACCAGCTCACAACGCGAGACTGCACCATGGACATGTCTACAGCTCATCCTTGCCTGTGCTCTTAGGCTCCTCCCAGGTGCGGCTCTTGGGGTTCTTCTCGACGACCTCCTCCGGCACGCCCCTCCTCCTGCGGTCCACCGCGGCAATCTCGTCGTCATAGACGGTCCACTCGGGCACCTGCCTCCTGGCGCGGTCGAGCTTGGGCTCCTTCGTCTGCGGGTTGTTGCACAGATCGATCGTCCTCGCCTCGGCCTGGCTCTCATCGCTGCACCACGTCTCGCACCACAGCCACTCCTGCGGCAGGCTGTGGATGGGAATGTTGAACTGCATGTGGTTCGGCAGATCCTGGTCCAGGTTCGCCAGGCTGTTCGGGTCGGCGCTGAGAGCGTGGTACTGCTGGCGCAGGCGGTCGCCGGCGGCGAGGTCGCGGAAGCGGCGGAGGTCGACGACGTAGAGCGCCGAGATGTGATAGGGTTGGCCGCGGAGATAGTTGGCCCAGTAGCCCTGCTTCCAGAAGCGGAAGCCTTCCATCTCGGTGCGCGAGTCGCACATGGGCGTGAAGCCGTAGGGCTTGCCCTCGAGCGGGTGATTGACGAGGTCCATCATGTCAGTGCGCACAATCTGGTCGGCATCAACAAAGATAACCTTGTCGAGCGACAGCGGGAACAAGACGTCGAGGAAGAGAATCTTGTAGCCCCAGATCTCGCGCTGCTTCTCTTTCTGCTGGCGTAGCCAGTGTGGCCACTTGAACGTGACCATTTCGTACTTGAAGCCGTACTCTTCTGCCAAGTGAGGGATGAAATCCTTGAATGAGGGCGATAGGAACTGCTCGATGAACCAGAACTTCACCGTGTGCTTTGTGTTCTTCATGACACTAACCATCATGATGTTCAACATGCGCTCGTATAAATGACCGCTGGCCACGGAGAATATGTTGATGTCGGCATGTTCCTGCGCCGAGAGGGATTTGGTGGAACCGCCGAGTAGGCTTTCGGCGAATTTGAGACCTTGGGAGATAATACCCCCATCCTCCACTGCCTCGTCTTCTTGCAGCACATCGGCCTTCTCCTGGCCAGGCTTGCGCTTCAAGCGGGGGTAGAGTGTGGTGCCCTGGAAGTCCATCAGCGCAACCTCGGTGCCCTCATCGCCAGGCACCGGCGCCCAGCCTTGCGCGCCTATGCTTTCAACGGTGTAAATCTCAGTTGTTTTGCCATCCTTTAAGTTGATATTGTAGAAGCCGGGATTGGCCTTGAATTGGAAGTATCCCAGGTTCGCCATGATGATGGTGTCGGCTAAGAGCGGCTCCTTTTCCGTGCCGAGGACTACTTGAGCACCTCGAGGAGGCTGGCCAGCTTTGCCTTCGCGAGAGTGACCCTCGATGAGAATGTTTTCGAGTTGATAGATGACGTTCACATCGCCCTTGGTAGAGCTCAGCTTGATGTTGTCCGGGTCGTGAACACAGACCTTAGGAGCCACGAGCCACGAAGGAGGGATGTCCATGCCGGTCGTAAGCAGAGCCTCACTCGGAAGACCCTTGAACGTGGCACCTAGGGCGCGAACCTTACCCGACTCGTCAAAGCTCGGCGCGGAGTCGAGGACGTAACGGAAGAATCGCTTCACTGGCAGCTCGCTGATCTCCTCTTTAGGATTGAGGAACAGCTTGACATAGACGCCATCAAGCTCAGAGAGAACCTTGAGGATCGGAGCCCACCGCTGACCCTGCTCGCTGACGGGGTTCAGAAGACCGATCAAATGAATGCTTGCGGTTTCCGCGTTTCCGACCTCAATTGCAGTGTATTTCGAATCCCAAGCATCAAATGCATTTACACGCACAGTAGAGGCCGACTCGAAAATGCCCTCAGGCACATCCGAGATGGTTGAAAGTGCCGTGATAGATGTCAGCTTGGCAGCCGCAAGGGGTCCAGATAGACGATCCCCCAGGCTGAGATCCTCGAGTGCGGCATACACAGGGAGGATTCGTGCTGTTTGCTCGAATTCAAGAAATAGCTGGAAGTCATCCTCATCGAAAGGAAGGTCCTCGGTTATCGGACCGATGACTCGACCGTTGAGAATGAGTGCGTTAGCCCCAGGTGCGATGGTGGCGGCTGACAAGAATGGTGCGAGGGCGATCATATAGTCCCCCTCAGACCCAGTCTCAGCTGCATCGAGTATGGCCTTCAGCTGCTCTGGGGTCTCTACTTCAGTCAAAGCGCTCTCCTCCTTTCTCAGAGCGGCATTGATGAGTGGCCCGGTCGTAGACGAGGCTGAATTGTGCACAATGTCAAGACGAATGCCGGGATTGGCACGCTGAAATCGCAGCGCCGCGAACAGCAAGTCCCTTCCGGCCTGCGTTGCGAGGTCGCTGATGATTGTCAGGGCTGCCCATGTTTCCTTGGTGGCCTCAGCATAGCCCTGGATGACAGGTACCGCAGAAAAGAGATTGTCGTGTTCCGCATATATCTTATTGACATCAAGGATTTGGATGGACTTCTCATCCTCAGGATAGATGTAGCTGTTACGACGACTGAGAGCGCCCTTGAGAAAGCGGCCGGGAACCCACTCGTCTTCTTCAATCAGGCCCATGTAGATACCTTGCTGAATTGTTTGAAGGTCCCCGCCGATTTTCATGCTCATCGTCCTAAGCCACCCCTTGTCTCGAGGAAGCAGCAAGCCGTCCAAGAAAAATGGTGGAATTGTTGTCCCAGCGTTGAGGCGCTTGACCCAGTGTTGAGCAAGCTTGATGCGTTCTGCTTGCTCCTCGGACTGCATAACGTCATCGAAGGAAGCAGTAGATGCCCCGGGAAGAGCGACGGACTCGGCCACAACTCGATCAAAGATGATCTGGTCAGGATTGAAGATTTTCGCGTCTTCGACGGACTGTTGGAGGTAGGCTATCATGGCCTCGGGACCATAGTTTTGCATCAAGTGATACACAACCTTGGCCTGAGCGGCCTTGTCATCACTGGGTGTCAAAGGAACCAAGCCGAAGCGGACCGGGAGCAGACGTTCCACGAAAGTGAAAAGATTGCTGATGACAGTCACATCCCCAGGGTTGGTCAAATCGACCGGAACAACGAGGGTAAATATGTTGCGGCGAATCGAAGGCAATTGGCCAGGGTATGTGCGTTGAAGCAGCTATGAACGTCAGCCGAAGTCCTGGTTCCTCAACAAAAGGTCTTTGCTTACCGAAGTTAATTCAGAGGGCAGGTCTTCGTAGCGGGCATCCTTCTCGAGGTCGTTGAGCCAAATGATGACCTTGCCCTCTTCGATTTCGTCACGCCAATCAAATCTCGGCGGCTCATCGTCGTTCTTCGCCGAGGCAACTTTGGGATGTCCCAAGAGCAAAGCAGCTTGCTGGCCGGTCAGTCCAAGATTTCGAATGTTGCCAATCAACTTTCTTTCTCGACGAAGCATATCGATCAAAGTGAATGCTTCAATTTGGCGCTCAGTAAGCTGCACGCCATTCATCCACAGAGCATTCAGGCCGCTGGGTGCCATTTCAGCGCGGTTCTTGTCATGCTCAGCGAGGAAGTCCTCAGACACTTCGTGGGTAGCAAGCGACGAAGAGAATTTGGGAAAGTCTTGTGTCAGTTTGAGCAAAGCATCCCAGGGATCTTGGCTTTGAGTGATGAAAGACGCAGCCTTGAGACCCAGCGGCGCCAGGTCAGATGTTGAAAGAGGTTTGAGGTCTTCGACTTCCTCCTCCTCATCAAGGACGACCTCTGTGGCGATGGACTTCTGCGGGCCATCCGTTTGAGCCTCACGATCATCGATAACAATGTAATCAGTCCTCTTCAAGGCAAGCTCAACGCCATAACCATTGACGGGTAGTGGCTCTTGCGGGGCGCCCACAGCTCTGCGATAGCGAAGCCGGTATGAGATCTCGCCGTTCCGTGCTTTTTGCGCTAGTGCCTGATGAAAAGCACCAAATGCACTTGACGCAGGATCTGCGTAAAGAACAGCGTCGGTGCCTGTTCCTATCACGCGATCGAAAGGAAGCAATTTGACGATACTGGAAACCCTCATTTCAGGTTTCTCCAGTGTAGGAGAGCAGTATTGGGACCCCGCGAACTGGAGCCAGATTTCACAGTCCTGCTGCTTTCCCCCGGTTACATGTGGCGCGATAGCGGTGTCGTAATACTGATAATGGGCTTCGATTCGTGGTGCCGATAACCTCATGGATAGCGCGAGCTTGAAGGTTGATAAGGCATCAGGGCTGCTGACATGGCCTTCATCCTGTAGAAGCTGAAGAAAGTCGTCGTACAGCGCCTTGTGGGTAGATGAATCCTTGAAGTGCCCGCTAGCAATGCGGTCGAGTAGTGGGAAGTAGGACGTAGCATTCTCGCCAGCAGCAGTCTCCCTGAACAGATGATTGTGTTAGCTCGAGCTGAGAACACGGCCGGCACGGGTTGTCCCTTACAAAAGTTCCAGGAGGTAGGGACCAGCCGGAAAGGCCGCCTGCATGTGCACATTGACCGAAGGCCCGGCCGAGACGTTGACGGCTGCCCAAAGGATGGCAACCAGCCCCAATGGCGACCGACAGAGACGTGTCATGGTTTCGTTCCCCGAGCTATGTTGAGTAGGTAACTAGGTAGGTAAAGTACGGGCCTCGTGGGTCACGCCCAGTAACGACAGCTTGGTGGTTCCAAGCTTCAAGGGGAGGAGGATTTGAATTGATGACGTCCTGTCAGGCTTGTAGGCCCAGTCATACCACACGGTAAGGAGCACAGGAAGAGTAATCTGGTTCGCAAGCCCTCCAGCAGCAAGCGCGAATGAGGGGCATCAAATCCGTAGCACAGACGAGTTGAAGTTGACGTCGGCTTCACATTTGAACACCTTTACTGGAAGAGCTGTTCCGATCAGGTATAGCGCGACCCCTTGCTCAGGGGTCTATCCGGCAGAAAGGTGGCATCTGTGGAGGGGTGACAGGGGCGGTGAGCGAGCTATAGTGCCCGGAATCGGATTAACCCTTGAGCGTCCCCCCTTGTCAGGCTTGGGCCCACAATGCCCACACCTTAGCAGATGGCCACGAAGCGAATTGCTGCTAAGGGGGTTGAGGCAGCCTCAGGAAAGTGGCCTTTCGACATACCTGAGCCCGCGATCACCGACCCGGACACTGTCATCCTTCGTCCTCCTCCTACCACCTCCTTCTCGACCATCGGACCTGCCGCAGCTGCCGTAACACTCCCCGGCACGATCGAAAGCCGTCGCCGAGCCTTGCCTGAAGTGCCACTTGTTGCTGCGCTGGATGCTCGAAGCTGCGGCTTCACCTCCCCGCCAAAATGTCGGCCTCGGGCAATAACATGTTGACCAAGGTACATCGCATCCATCATTGCAGCATCCTCTTTGGGGTCGCTTTACTCACTGTATCGTAGTTCGAGTCAAAGTCTTCGCGCGCAAAGGGCATTGCCTTCCACCCCAAGAGGTACGTTCACAACCTCCCTATCTAGGGCGCGACGCTCTTCACTTGACCTTCGATTCATCCCTGCTGACATAGCTCCATAGGCCATGGATTCTCGTCGCCCTCCACTCGTCTACAATCCAGCTCTGGGACTACCGCATGGGAACTCTCATCGACCGATTTGAGGAACACGATGGCCCCGTTCGCGGAATTGACTTCCACAAGACCCAGCCCCTCTTCGTCTCGGGCGGTGACGACTACAAGATCAAGGTTTGGTCGTATCAGACCCGTCGTTGTCTCTTCACCCTCAGCGGCCATCTCGATTATGTTCGCACCGTCTTCTTTCACACGAGCTCCCGTGGATCATCTCCTCTTCCGACGACCAGACGATTAGA